CGCCGGATGAAGGTGTGAGTGTTTCTCTCTGTGTTGTGGGGCCTAGCAGGTTGCTGTGAGGCGCTTTTACCAGTTGGTCTCGTTGGAATACGGGAGGGGTTTGTGAATCTGGGCTCCTGGACGGGCAGGGGCAGCGTGTTTTCAGATGCCTGTAGCGGGTGAACAAGAAGACGTAATTGCCGGGCCATCAAATTGTGGTGTTCAAAAGAGACGCTTGGTTTTGATACGTACGTTAGGATCAGGAGATGTCGTCCAATTAGCGGTAAAGAAAGCCAAGGACAAATTCGGCAATCGTACAAGAAATAAAGGCGCGCAGGGACTGAAGCTTTGGCGCCAAGAATAATAGCATCACTGCACTGCACTGACCATGCATGCTTTGCTGGGTGTATAAAGCCGCGCAAGAATCAAACTAATTAACCTCGCACGCTGCACTCCATCTCCATGCATATGGTTGATAAGATGCCACCCCTCGCAGCAGCCGCGTCCTCGTCGCGGTGCGCCCCCTTCGCCTGCCGCCCCCGCGGCGCCGAGCAGCGCCAGCGCTCCAGGGGCCTGGATCACGCGTCAGCACCGGTGCCTGCCGCCGGGCTGGGCCGCGCGGCGGGGGTCGTGGGCGGCGGCATCGCCGCGGCCTTCTTCGCGTCCCTGGAGCGGTGCGCCTGCGTGGAGGTCCGCACGACCGACGACCTCTCCGACTGCAGCAACAGCGCCATGGAGGCCGCGCCGCTCATGGGCGACGGCGGCGGTTCCGGCTGTTCTTGCACTCATTCTTCCACACCGAGGAAGAAGAGCAAGAGGAAGGCCGGCGCGGGGAAGGGCCCGAGGGGCGGCCATGGCGGCTTTGGGTGCTGCGAGAGCATCAATTAGCTAGTTCTTGGTTGGTAATTCAGATTCAAGTCTCGCGGGTATATGCGTGCATGCGTGTGTGCAGATTATATGGCATCATTAAGATTGTATGAACTGGTCGAGAGAGTGAGGCCATGCACAGGGTTTTGTATACGATCAATCTTTGATGTTCGCTCTTTTGCGGAAAACTTCCAGATTTGTTACAATTATAAGTAGAAAACAACTCAAACATAATAGAATTTACATCAAGTTTTTTATACCACCGAGCAACCGCCGCCGCTGCCAGAATGAGCTGCTAATTTTACATGTAGGTAGTGTGGCTCTGATTTTTGTTTAAGTTATCTAGTGATAGATGTGACCATATTGCACACAACATGCATGAACTTCAAATCAAGGAGCATATAACTATATGTTAGTCTACTGTAAGTCCATAAATAATTCGAGAGTTGTGCGTAGATGGATGTAGAGTCAGGGGCTGTTACCCTCTTTTTGCAAAAAAAGAAATAAAGTCAATATATCCGAGGAATTTGTTCTAAACTTTATTCTTTTATTTTCTTCTGTTCATGGTATGATTCTTATCTCCACAGAAATCTCTGAAGATAGTAATAAAAAAGACTCACAAATTAATATGTGTGTAGTCACTTTTTAGCCCCTTTAGCCAACCACTTCTTGATGACTTTATCTAGTGATAGATGTGACCATATTGCACACAACATGCATGAACTTCAAATCAAGGAGCATATAACTATATGTTAGTCTACTGTAAGTCCATAAATAATTCGAGAGTTGTGCGTAGATGGATGTAGAGTCAGGGGCTGTTACCCTCTTTTTGCAAAAAAAGAAATAAAGTCAATATATCCGAGGAATTTGTTCTAAACTTTATTCTTTTATTTTCTTCTGTTCATGGTATGATTCTTATCTCAACATAACAAAGAACATATAACTATATATTACTCTAATTTATAAGTCCAGAAATAATTTGAGAGTTGTGTGCACCGGCCCATGTAGAGTCAAGGGGGTGTTACCCTCTTTTCGAAAAAAATAAGTCCATATATCCGAGGAATTAAGCTCCACAGAAATCTCTGAAGATAGTAATAAAAAAGACTCACAAATTAATATGTGTGTAGTCACTTTTTAGCCCCTTTAGCCAACCACTTCTTGATGAGTTTGTGCAAATGCTATGCATGTGAGCGTCCTCTTTGATCTGGTTAGCTTTGTGAACGATCTCATTGCCTCACCTCCACACACGTGTCCACCTTTTTTTTTTTTGCAAATACGTGTCCACCTTAACCAGCAACAAAAAATGCACTATGCAAAATGGCAATTTAATCACAAAAGATGTTGCATTTTAAGCATTTCACGATGTCTAGAGAAACCAAAAGCTATCCCATTTCCAAAAATGCCAAGCCCATTTTTATACGTAGCATGTTTCAAATGAATTATGAGGCGGCCGGCAATTTTTCCATCTCACTCGAATTTCTAACCATGAGATTATATTCGTGATATGCGCTCTTGTTGCCAAAAAGATGAATGCAAAGGCGACGACAGCCCACATATATTGAGATGCCTATTGAATTCATGGTTCATGCAGTTACTCCAAAAGTCTAAACTGATGAAGAGAGGCAGACAATATATTTCAATACTCCCTCTCACGTCTGAGCTTTTTAATTCTTGGACATGGGGTCGATGTAGGCCATACTTCTTTTTCTCAATACTGCGTTGGCAGTATGTTGAACTCGAGATCTCTTGGCTCCGATATCATATTGAATTCACGCTCCAGTCAGTTACTTCAAAAGTCTGAACTAATGAAGAGAGGCGGGCAATATTTAATAACATAGGGCAAGGCTACTAACCGTAAATCGATGTGTCAGGTCGGAGATCTATGTTGCTGCAGCTGAGGAAGATGGGGAGGGATGCACGAAAAATACTGAAAATCGGCGGAGGAGAAGACATCGGCGACACGGGAAGGGAGGGTGAGAACTATTTGGTTTGGGGTGGTGTGAACGGAATGATTGTGTGATGTCGGATGTAGATCGGTTGGCTTGAAAACTTGCCCAACAGATTTCTCCAATTTTCCAGGCAAGTGACCGGCCAACACCTCCGTTTCCCCATTTAGCAGCATACATCAAATCATTTCATTTTTCTTGTGATTCCGCGGGGCATCGTCGGTTTTCCACACGAAAAAGCAGATAGATCCACGCATGCAATGCAATGGACAAACCCATCAAGCTAGAATAGTAAAAAGGATGGGCAAAAGGATGCTCCACAAATCTGACAAGATCCAGGCATTTCAGCTAAGGTGGTAGAAACGAACTGCTGGCTGCTTGACACCTGGCACCAAACAAGGCTCTTAGATTCTGAAAAAAAATTCTTAGATTCTGCAAAGGCCCCAGATTAAAGCTGTGCATAGTGCATATGCCTGCATTACC